CTCACCCGTGTGTAGACATCTGTGTCTTGAAGGAGAGTGAAAGCAGTAAAGGCAGATTTTGCTCAGTTACATATCTTTGAGCAGGAGATTCTTCCATGCTGGACTGCAAGTATCCAAGCAGCTGAGCTTCTTTGAAGAAAAGTGAAAACACCTACTAGCAAAAGATTCAAGGGTCCTGAAATGTGAAAGACCTGTGTTTCTTACAGAAGGGCTTAGCAGGTGGTGAGGACTAAACAGGCTTTGACGAATGACAGCTGCAGTGCGGCCATGTTCACCCCTACTGAGCTCTTTCGCTGTGCAGTACCTTCTTGGAGAGAATGAGGTTGTTCTGTCATAGCCCTAAGGTGTAAGGGATCTGCGTTTGGGGAACAGCACCTTTGCCAGGCCGGTAAGCCATCCTGAATGGTCTGCATTTCTCAGGAACTTACTTCTAGGTGAGGACCCCCAGTGCTCCTAGCAGTCCACCAGCACCCTACCACCCCAGTCCATTTTTTAGTGCTGAGCTTCTTTGCTTTTAAAGGGATTTTCCTTACACTTCATCATTTGTGTTTACGATTGTGGCTTAGAAGAGAGGGAGGATGCTGAAGAGCCAGAGGCTTTGAGAAAATACATGGGGAAGCAATTTGGAGTCTTCTTTGACTAACTCTCTAATCCTTGGCAATTCCTTTGAATCTGGGCAAAACCTAGAAGGAATATCCTTTGTGTTTCTTTTCCATTTTGTAAGAACAAACTTGTCTCATATTGCTCTTTATTTAATCAAGCGGTTTAGCACATCCATTTCCCTCACAGTGTCTTGCAGCCACATGTAGCCAAATTAATATCCTACAGAACTAATTGAGGGAAGCTCTTTAATGGAATATTCAGATTGAGTTTTCAAGTTGTGAAACTGCATTCAGAACTTTAAAAAGAAGTGGGGGGTGGAGGGAGGGTTGATTCTGCTGCCATTTGACCAATTCTAAAAACGTGACTGCTAGCTATCATTTAAACCAGCCAGCCAGCCAGCTATGAAGAACTTTGCCTTCTGGCCACAAAAGCACATTAACCACAGGTATAAAGAATCAGTTTCCCCCTTAATCTCTTCCCCCCATCCCACCTCCTTTCACTCTTCTTTCCTTTCTTTCAGAAAGGCTTCCATCTTGCCCTCTCTTTGGAGGAGTTTGATTTTGAGCCCGATAGTAGGGCTGTTGTGCAGTCTTGCTCCTGGGGTTTCCTTCTCTACAACCATCTTGTCTGCTGTGCATGTGTGTGAAGAGCAGGGTTGCCAAATTCTGCCGCTCTGAACCAGATGAAGCCTCTAAGCTCCAGCATATCCCACTGTTATCCTCTCTGCAGAGCTTAAGCATTAAAAGGAGAATCATCCAGAACATACATACATATATCTCTCTGTATATACATCTCTCCCCGTGCCTATGATTATTACTTTTTATGTGTGTTCCTTTGTGATGTGCAGATGTCATTGCTATCTCATTGCTCTCGGCTGCCATCCAGAGTTCCCTGGGTGGGTCTTGCCACAAAGCTCTAAACTGAACACTCAGCTTTGGCTTGGGGATGGGGAGTAGTGGCAGGCAGCTTTATTTGGAGCCCTGGAGGAAGGACACTTGCTGTTACCAGGGAATGAGCTGACCTTCCTTTTGTGATGCTGTCAGTTGGAGGTGGAGTCTGCCTGGAGGAGGCTCTGGGTCTTGGTTGCCTGGACAGTGAAGACTGTGTGCCCTCTGGACAGCCGACTGAGTATAACATTTGATAGGTATGTTAAAGGCTCCAGAAATATGTTCTGCGGTGGTGATATCGGCTGTCTTCTGCCCTATGTACGACCTCCTAAACTTTGGAGGCTCTTCATTTCTGGAACTACACCAAGAAACAAATAGTCTAGGCACATACTTTCCCACTCCCCTCCTCTCAGCTTGACTCAGAGCAAGGAGAAAGCACCTGGACAGTGAGTGGGGGAGGCTGAGGAGAGGGATCCAGTCAGGGCAGTAGGCAGACTCGGTGGCCCCAGTTAGGAGTGCTTGGGCTAGGCAGAGGCTCACAGGACTGACTTTGAACTTTATCTCCTCCACTGCTTCGGGACTCCAAGCTTCATCCATGAGAAACCCTACTTTTGGGCTTCCAAGAATAACATTAGGCCTTTCCTCTGGACCACGCATATTCATTCTGACCACTGCAGAGGGAGAGGAGCACTGCTTTCTGAGCCATTGTGCGAAACATCACACAGCTTGGAGACAGTCATTCTCCAGAGTTGGGGTGCATTAAGAACTCTTGAAGAATGTATTTGTTTCTTGGAGTTTCAAAAGCTGTAGTAATTATTCTACAAACAATGGCTGTTTTCTTCTGCTATCCATTTCTCTAGATTTTGCTAACCTATTATATCCAGAACAGTCCAACTTCAAGCCACTGTGACTACAACAGGATATTTAGGAGGTGGGGGTAGGGTGATGGTCACCTGAGGGACCAGTTAGATTTTGCACATCCACTTAGCTCTTCCCCCCAACTTTTAAGAGTTCATTCTAGAGAGTTGTCTGTTAATAGGGAAGGTTAGAGTTACAAAACCTTTCTCTCAGTGAAGTAAGATGTAGAACTATACCTAGCATCTTTGAACTCTTTTCCCACTTTTATGTGTTGTTTCCCCTTTGGTGAATTTTCTAAACAGGCAGCACCGAGGGAGGTTTCTCAGAGTACTCGAAGGCAAAACTCCTAGGAAGAGGGAAGAGAATGGAAAGTGAGCATCAGACGTCGCGTGGGACCTCGCATGGGGCGGCCTCTCTACACACCCAGCAGCCCTTCTGCTGAGTGGTTGGGTGGGGCCTCTGGGATTTACAGCCTGATTTCTTGGTTAAGGATAATTCGAGACATCCAGAAAGAAGGGAGAGGGAGCCAGCTTCTCCAGCCACTGGATGGAACAGTAGGGCCTCGACCGGAGCATTATTAGCATTTGAAAGCCTCTCTGCAGGGGCAGAGAGCTTCCTGGGGTGGGTGCTGGGGCCTGAGTAAGGAGACCCACCGGTGGCTCCACGTGAAATGGGGCTGAGCGTCTGGAGCATAAAGACCACACTGGACCCAAGAATGAGCCCTTTGTGGCTTTGTCCCAGGCTTGAAAACTGTGACCAACCCTCTTTCATTGTTAAGAAAGACTGTTTCTTGGCCACAGCAGAGCTAATAAGTCTAGTCCCCCCACCAGGCAGGGCTGGGGAAGAAAGACACTGCCTCTGGCCAGAAGGTTGTTAGCCTTATGCTCTCAAAACTTTTTTGTGGGATACTTTTCCTTTTTCCTTCCCCCCCCCTCTTATACACACTAGCACCTTTTGCCACATCTCTCTCTCTCTCTTTTTTTTTTTTTTTTAACATTTGTTTGTGTATGCGCACAAGAACTGTGGTACATGCCAGAGGTGCAGGGGATGAGAGGGTTCACCAGAGACAGAGTGGGGAGCAGGACAGGAGGATCTACTGAGACACTGCTGAGGGGAGCAGCTGGCAAGACAGGAGAGGTCTGCTGCGCCATGTGGGTGAGCTCCCTGGCCAGGGATCAAACTTGTGCTGTAGTAGCCATGGATAGTGTCACAGTGCTGCATTTTAACGTGTTGTGCCACCAGGAAGGGCCCTTTTGCCAAATCTTGAGCAGCAACTGGGTCTTTCTGCCTTTCCCATAGGTTTCCTTTCCCAGCTTCCTTACGTGAGCCCCTTCCCAAATTAAGTCTAAAGAATCTTTGAAATTAGTTTAAATAGTTTGTGTTTGCTCAGTACTTATTTTTAAATCATTGTTAATTCTAGTTATTTTTTAAAAATCTTGATTTCTTTCCAGTCTTTCCCCTGCTTCCAGCCTAAGTCCCTGTAAGTTTGAGGTGTATTTCTACAGCCGCCAGCTAGTTGCGGGTGCTGTAGGGACTACCTCTCTTTCTTAAAACCAGAGTGATGGCGCCACCTACTGGCGCTTACTGTTAACTACAGGTTCTGCGGCTTTCCCTATTTTCTGCCAAAGTGATTATAACTCAGGGCAGTATGTAAACTGTATTCCAGCAGAGGGAAAATTACACACACGAGTGAAAAACACGTTCACTAGGCACGCTGTTTGCTGCTTATAAGTGAGCTGAGAAATTGTGGTTGGGGCAGAAGCAAATAAAAATAGGGCCTTGCCAGCTGCAAAGTTAACCAACCTGCCAGAGCAAACAGGGTTTGCCAGAGCTGGCAGGAGACTTTAGCTGATAACAAGACAGAACATTTAATGATATGAATAGGGAAGACTCTCTGCCACCCTCAATTCTCTAGTTCAATCCTGGTGATTTTTTTCAGTATGATATGACTAAACCTTTAACAGCCCTTTAACCCTTATTCATTTCAGCTTCAACAGTGTTAGGTAGATAATATCCATTAGAAATTAATACCATTTGTTTTCACTTAATTATTTTTAAGTTATCAGGTTATCTTCTACTGTATAGTAAGTAACACAAATTTTCCACTTAATTTCGTTATTTAGTGTAGTTACATGACGGTTCCTTTTAAAGTGAGGTTAGGTTTTAAAAAATGAATCACTTTTGGGGGAAAATACCCACAGGTGATGGCATACAAGAAGTGTTTGAGCAGAATGGAAATCCTGTTTAGTTTTATGAGTTGAAAGGCATTCCTTGTCCTCCAGCCTCCCTGTGGACTTCTGGCCAGTGAATCCTCAATAAAGCACTTTATTCTTGGCAGACCTGAACCCTTGAAGCAGTGATGGTGCTGGGGAAGTGAAGCTAAGGCCAAAGTCTCTGGATTTGCCAGGCGAAGCAAACACCCACACCCGTACCTGTTCTTTTCTACTGAAGGCTGGCAGAATTGGCGAGTAGGATCATGTTTGGTTTGGGGTCAATAGCTCCGTCCTAGTAAATGTTCTCTGTCCTCCTTCACAGCGGCTGCCTCAGAAGCCAGGGCGCCTCCCAGCCTGGGCCTCTCAGTTCTCAGGTTGGGTTTCATCCAGTCCTGGATGCAGGGGCTCAAACACTGACAATCTCCTTTCTCTCCCACAGAGAACACCTTCTGCAGTGGGGATCATGTGTCTTGGCATAGCCCTTTGGATAACAGTGAATCGAGAATTCAGCACATGCTGCTAACAGAGGACCCACAGATGCAACCAGTGCAGACGCCCTTTGGGGTAGTTACTTTCCTGCAGGTGAGACTCAGGCTAGACATTGACTCAGGCTTCTCTGCAGGTGAAACCCTAGTAGCATAGGAGGGTTTGGGGAGGGGGGGGAGTAAAGGAAAGGAAGATTCCATTTGGCCTTCTCCCATTTTCTGTTCCCTCTGCTAGTTTGTCAGATTCAGATTTAATGTGCTGAGACTGGAGAAGGAAAAGGGAAGAGGCTATTTGGGTAGCAGATAGTAGCTACAACTGAAATAGAGTATTTCCGTGAACTAGTAAAGACTGAGAGCCGATGCCCAGTCCTCCCAGCAGGAAGGACTTGGACTGGACTTGCCCTCACCTGGAAGGGGTGTGCATGTGCCCCTCACCTGGGCTTGCTTTCCATCAGATGGGGTCCCAGTGAAGGTTCAGTTATGTCTCTTGGTAACTTACATAAAGAGCTCAGCTCCTAATAAGGAAGGAAGCTTCTTTGCAAGCTCTTGGGGCCTTCAGCCATTGTTCTGAGCTTAAAGGATCTCAAAATCTTCACTGTTTACATTCCTCAGGATCTTAGACTGGGTGGGAACATCTCCTTGGCCCTCCTCTTTTTCCAGGGATGTGAGATGGGCAACCATCCTGAGTTGGTTGACTCAGGCCCTGATTTTCTCCCCTGTAGCCTGTGGCTGGACTTTGTGTCAACCAGAGGCCTGACCGCCATAGCAGAGGAAGGGCAGGTCTCAGTGCATTGTGAGCCACTCCACCTCCTAGCCAGGCAGCCATTCCCTCCTAAGGAGACCATCCCACTTTGGACATACCAGCCCCTGAGCACAGATCCTGCCAGTGGTCCCCTGACTTGAGGTGCTTAACATGACCCTGAGAGGCTGGGCTCTTGGGAGGAATGTGCATTAACACACCTGGCGTTGTCTCCTGGCCTCAGATTGTTGGTGTCTGTACTGAGGAGCTCCACGCAGCCCAGCAGTGGAATGGGCAGGGCATCCTGGAGCTGCTGCGAACAGTGCCCGTGTGAGTACCCCTGCCCTATGAGGTGGGGGCTGGGTTACGTGGGGGTGGGGCTCCCTACTTCTCCCATGTGTGGGCTCCCCCTTTCATTGCTTCTAAAGCATTGGTTTTTCACATCAGGGCTTCCTGAGGACTCGCTCCCTGATGGTCCCTGACTACAAACCATTCCCCTGCATTCTAGGCCTGGAGCAGCAAACAGGACAGGCTGTAGATCCAGGCCATCAGCCGCAGGCCCTCATTTACCACCCTGTCCCCTTTCCTTGTCCACAGTGCTGGCGGCCCCTGGCTGATAACTGACATGCGGAGGGGAGAGACCATATTTGAGATCGATCCACACCTGCAAGTATGTCTTGAGTGAGGAAAACCTTTCTAGCACTCTGTGCCTAGGCCTCTTCCAAATAACACTGGCTTTCATCCTGGGAAAACGGAGGAGCTTTATTTGTGAGTGAGTAGAAATATGGCATGATTTGGAACTTGTCCCTGAATTCCACAGAGTACTTAAGAGAGCAAAGATTTCAGGCCAGGAAAACTTATCTTAGACACATGTGCTTTGCATTTAAAAAGGATGAATTTTATGGTATGCAATTCATATATCAGTAAACCTGACTTTAAAAAAAATTAGATAAGTAGTAACTAAAGAAAATCAATATAATGTATAGATATTGTTTGTCCAGTCTTCATCCTCCCACTTCCTCCTCCTTTAAAAAACAAAACAAAACAGACTTTCCTTCAGGGAGCCACCCTGCACAACTACCGTAACCTTGTAACAGACAGACTAGGTGATACTGATGTCACTGCTCTACTATGGGTGAATCTTGATAGGTCTAGTGGTCACATGCCCCTTTCAGATACCAGGTTCCTGTCCCAGGCAGGCTGGCTTCCTTCATGTATAAGGACGTCTCTGTACACACAGGCCTGCAACTGCCCACCACTGTGGCCAGAGTGTGCCAAGTTACACTGTCATCTTTGTTGTTGTTGTTTTTTCCCAAAAGAAGCAGTCTTTTGGCACGCAGGTGAATGTTGAAAGTTACATAGACTGTAACTTCCTTTCTTTTGTACTGCTCATGAAGCAAGAACAGCAGATAGCTCATAACGTGCCTGGCATGTGTCTGCCTCCTACTTCCCAACGCCCCTACCAGTCACATGCTTTCAGCTCCTCACAGTCTGGTAGACCACAGCACGGAGCTGTGTGTCCTCTGGAAGGGAGGAGAGATGGCAGAGAAGTAATAGATGGACACGAAGCCAGCAGTTTCTGGTTTCTTCACTGCAGACCTGTGAGTTCTTGGGCAGAAAACCCTACTCATTCATAGATGATGCTCCTCTATTTTCTTAGCACCTTTAACACTGAAGCTTACAGTTGCTCTCAGGATCCTCTGTTATCTCTACTTTAAATTGACTTCCTTGTAGATTCTGCCTATGCAGGAACCAGGAACTGTGAAGGCTGTGCTTCCCTAATCCCTTTTTCTGCAGCCACACGAGATCCAGCACTGGGCTCTGTGGGTTCTTTGGCCCCTGTCATAAGTGACAAATAATAAGAAAGACCTGGTCCTTTGACCAGGTAGGGTAAGCAACTCATCCTTCCTTAACATGTGGAGAACAGTTGTCTTCCCTAGCCATTAAATGTCCCTGGTTGTCTTTAAAGCCAGCAGATGTGCCTCAGAGAAAGCTCAGCTTTCTTTTCTGGTGATTCTGGACCAAGAGGGGCACTCCTTGTAATTGCTTGTGCTTTCTGGGGCCTGCTTGCGGCCAGTTTATTTTAGGACTGGCTCCTGTTCCTTTGATCCTACCTCAACTCCTAGCCTGCCTGCTATGTTCCTAAGTGAGTTCCTTGACTTACCTGGGTCTTAACTCTTTGTTACTTATAAAGAAAATGCATTGAACTATTGAACCAAAAGGTGTTGTCAGCTCTTAGGGGCCTCAGGGGGCCGATGGAGCTAAAAGGGCTCATGCTCTCCCCTAAGCAAAACAGGGCTCACACACTCTTGCCTCGAGCATGAGGATTGTCATCAGCCTTCCCCTGTCTGCTCTGATCCCCATCTTTGGACAGGCTGATGATTGTATTGGAAAGGAGGAGAGTGTGATTGAAGGGAAGGAGGCATCCAGGGAAGGGCCACCTGCTGACTGGTTTTCAGCTGTAAGGACCTCACATAAGCTTGCCTTATGCTTCCCTAGAAAGGCTCCCAGGCCAGTTTGGTTCCTGTGGAGGCCTTGGTGAGAGTGAGATCGACACGGAGGTTCACTCGGGAGCTCTGTTTGGCTCACATGACTGTTTATGAACAGGATTGCTGAAGCCTTCCTGATGACCTGTAATCCAAAGCCCAGCATCATGGAACTGTTAATCAGAAATCCCAGGGATGTTTGGGTACAACTCTTCCTTGAGGCCATTTGGAGAGTATTTGGAGTTAGCAGTGCCAAGACCTGCACAAAGACAGGGCCTCGGGCCTCTGGTGGGGTCTACAGATGGTCGCTGCCCTCCAGAGTCCTTTGCCAAACAAGTGAGTCCTGTCCTTCTCTGTGGTGGTGCTTTACTGTGCACCCACACCCTCTGCTGTTGGACGAGGAAACTGCAGTGTGGCCTCTCCTGCCTGTGGCAGGCTTCACCCTGGCCTCTGTAGCAGAAGCTGAGGGTTCTTCCTGGATGACCAGGGAGGAAAGGAATAGACTAAGCAGTTCCTGACTATCTGTCATATCGACTCCACAGAACAACGTGGAGTGGGCAAGGTGGGGTCTCTGAAATAAGTGTGATGGTCATTGTACTGGAATGTTGATGACCTAGGGGAAACTTCCCTTTGGGACTTTTAAGTCTTCCTGGCTTCCTTTAATACCTGGCCGCCCTGGAGGAATTCACTAGCTGGCATCAAAGCAGGACAGGATGAAATCAGAGAGCGTGTTCTTCCAGCCCTTGTCCTGTGCACAGAACCTCCAGGGCTCAGTAAATACTAGAAAGGTGGTCACTGGGATGTCAGTGGTGACCTTGAGCCACTGGTTCGCTGAAGGAACTCTGGCTCTTTGGTTCTTTCCAAGCAGGAAAGAGTTGACAAAGGCATTGAGACGGACGGCTCCAACCTGAGTGGTGTCAGTGCCAAGTGCGCCTGGGATGACCTGAGCCGACCCCCGGAGGATGACGAGGACAGCCGCAGCATCTGTATTGGCACACAGCCCCGGCGGCTGTCTGGCAAAGGTAGGAGCGATCACCCTGCCTTCCTCCCCGTTCCTCAGGCCTGGTTTTCAGACTCTCTAGGATGGGTCTCTGACAAAAACACCCCATTCAGTAGTTTATTTCCTGGCATGATTTTAAACAGCAAGTGTGATCTTCCAGCAGGGTGGAATTAGAGGCGCTTTATTGGCCCATTTAGCCTGTGTTTCCTGTGTGTATTTCAAATACACCACCAGCAGCGACCATTGTGTTTTAGATTTGCCCCTTGTAATCTGAGGTCATGGAGGTGAGTGGAAGCCATAGAACAGTTGCAGGAAAAGACCATAGTCCACCCAAGTGCAAGAGAACGAACATTGGCCACCCACGGAATTGACACAGAGCCCAGCTCTGGCCTGAAAGCCCAGACCCAAGGATAACTCTGGCCTCAGGCCTTAAACAAGAGAGACCTAAGTATGAGGCCAGTTTACTTGCAACTTCCCAGCCGCACTGCAGACAGAATGTAAGGGGGGGCCTCCCTGGTACCCTAGGGCTTAAATCTCAGGGTTATCACCTCTACAGACTGAGTTCACTTAGCCAGGGTGCTGACACACATATGGCGCAGCAGACCTCTCCTGTCTGGTTTGCTGCTCCCTTCAGCAGTGTGTTTCAGTAAATTCGCCTGCTCTGATCCCTATTCTGTCTCTGGTGATCTTTGCACCCCATTCACCTCTGGCCTACACCCCAGTTCTTCTACACAAAAATAAATAAAATTTAAATTTTTAAGAAATAAATAAATAAAATGTAAGGGGCTGTAGGCAGAGTGTTTGTACCTACTGCATTCTGGTGGGACTTTGGAAAAGGAGGGTACGATTCTCCTGCCGGAAGCTCACCTTGCTGGTCTTGGCTATAGAAACAGTTGTGGTTTTTAGAACAGGACGTTCCTTATTAATTGCAAAAAAAAAGCAGGCATGTGCATGAGTTTATAGCTTCTTTTTCTATTTCCTTTCTCTATTCTACTTTTTATTTTTTTGAAGAATAGTATAACTGTAAACCTGAATGAAACACCTGTATGTGCGATAGCACTTACAAAAGGCTTTCTCTTTCCATAAAGAACAATTTAAACTTAGTGGAACTTAGTGAAAGTATCTATCCCTCTCTTTCCTGCTTGGTCTAATGTGTTTCAAGACCTTAGGAGGTTCAGACAGAAAGTATACAGTTAATAGAAGCATTCAGTTGCTTTTGACCAAATAAATAACTTAAGGAGGAATTTGTGGTCTTCTTCAAAATTTCAGCCATTATTGGTTGGTTTTTTGTTGTTTTTTTTTTTTTTTTGAGATTTATTTATTTATGCATACAGAACTGGGGTACAGGCCAGAGTTGCAGGAGTGGTGAGGGGACTCACCAGAGACAGAGAGGGTAGCCGAACAGGCAGATCGACGAAGTACACTGCTGAGGGGAGCAGCGGGCGGGTCGAGAGGTCTGCCCGCGCCATGTGGGTCACTTGCACTGAAGTGGCTAGGGCTGCAGCCAGCTTGCGGTGCTGCACCTTAACAGTTGCACCACCAGGGAGGGCCCATTGGTGGGTGTTTTTTAAAAGTAACAAGTGAAGCAGTTAGAAAAGTTAGTAATCATCTCTGTCATCTACTTTTAAGTACACCCTTTGAACAGTCAAAGTTAATTTGCTTTTTTTGTTTGTTTATAGCAGTAGTCTTAGCTCAGATCTCAATATAGGGGGTCCATTTAGTAAAATTCACCTCACACGTGAGCAAAACACCTCGCAAAGAACTAGTGCTACCAACAGACTTCTCCTTCACATTCTGGTTCTTGCCAGACCCTTGGAGTGGCAGGGTTCTCAGGGCCAAGGTGGGAGATCACTCTGATACCCCACTGACCCAGCCCAAGAGAAAGGGTGACAGATCCAGATATCTGTTGCCCATGCAGAACCTAGAAATTTATGTTAAGAGACACCTACCCATTCTTACAATCCTTCTTTGCTTCCACTTCAGTTGACGTGTCCTGGGTGGTCTCTGGCAGTGGCAAAGGCCTTGTCATTCACTGTTTGCAGCCCTATTAAGGATCAGCTTTAGGCCTGTGACAAAGGAAGGGCAGTGGAGTGCACTCTGCTGAAGTCTGGAGGCCGCCCCTTGTCTTCTACAAGCACCATGCTCTTTAGGCCTAAAGATTCTGGAGAGCACATTCCCTCATCTGCCCTGTCTCCTTACCCTGCATGCACTCAGACTTCATGACTGATACCTGGAGTGGAGAATGGCCTTCATTAGGGGTCTTTCCCCTACGCACACCTGTACAGCCAGATTCCAAGGGTAGGGCCACGGGATGCTAGGAGCCCAAAGGGCCATTAAGCACCTTGGTGGTGTCGTTGCAGACACAGAGCAGATCCGGGAGACCCTGAGGAGAGGACTTGAGATCAACAGCAAACCTGTCCTTCCACCAATCAACTCTCAGCGTCAGAACGGCCTCACCCATGACCGGGCCCCGTAAGTTCCTCACACACAGGAGGGGTTAGTACAGTTCCTGACATCAGTGTCCCAGATCTGGGATGGGGTCAGTTTTGTCCTGACAAGCCTGTCCCTGTGGCCTGCATGAGTGAGAACAATGCCCGGAGCCGTTGCTGGATGGGCCTACGGATTCTGTAGTTCACAGATCTGTGGGTCATAGGAAGGGGCCGCAGAGAGGACCTGGTAGACCAGGCATATAAACACCAGTAAATATTTATATGGGTTGTATGAGTAGATGGGAGGCTGAGTTGGGGCAAAATCTGACTTGGGTCCTCCCAGCCTTGTGGGAGCCCATTGTGCTGAGCACAGTTCCCCTTCTTATCTTGGCCTCAGCCAGAGTTGCCCTTCCTTCCTTCCTGGAGCCTGGTCTCCGGCCGATAGCTGCAACCCCAGGGCCTCTCTGTCTGGCCAGCCCCATACTGGATGCCTGGAGCTGAGGCCCTTCTTCCTGCCTTGGTTCTATGGGGCCCAAGGAAGGGGGGAAGTCCTTTTGCAGGCTTCTGCTGCCTGTTCAGGGCCTCCTGTAGCCCTCGGGAGAGACTGGCCACCCAGAGGTCAGAGCCCTTTCCTGTTGACCTCTCTTCCGCTAATGGTGGGCATGGCTAAAGCTGGGCTCCCTCCTCTGCCCTCAGTACTAGCGCAGCTCTAGGGAATAGTTGCTGGCAGTGGATGCATAGGAGCTGGCAGCCCAGAGCAGGAACCATGTCTGCCAGGGAGGAAGTTGCTGTGTCCTGGCCTGAAAGGGAGGCAGACGGTCCTGCAAGACTAGGGTGACCTATCCTTCCTCTCAGAAGTCTAGTACACACTTGCTGTGACAGGCTTAGGACTCGGGGGGCTCAGGGATGTAGGTTCTCCCTTTGGGGGGGGGTGCATGAACCGGAACAACAAATGAATTAATTGGCCTGAACCTGCTGTAGATGCAATTTGTCCAAAATAGTTACTGTGTTGAATTCTAGCTCCAGTTGGCTCACCTCATGATTCCCAGAAGTGGTCATAATTTAATGTACAACAGAAAAAATAAGTCATCACGATCCAGTTGGAGAGAGTCTCTTGGAAGAGGAAGAATGTAAGACATGGATCTTGAAGGACTCCTAGAATTTTAACAAGTTGGGGGCAAGAGCTGAAGAAGCCGGAATGGGGGAGACCTGGCTAGTTAAAGTTGAGATAGTAAACTGTGAGCAGACTGTGGCGTGGGGAGAGTTATACTGGGAAGAAGGCTGCCTCAGTGGCTCCCGTAGTGGGCCTGATGCTGGAACCACGAGGATTGAGTTTGGTAAGAACCTGGAGAGCCCACTGCCACCTCTGAGTGGCTTTCAACTCTGGCCAGTGGGTTTCTCCAGCCACTGGAGTAACTTGAGGCACCATGATCTTCCCCTGGCAGCTTCACAGCATAGTCAGGCTGATCAAAGGCCATGTGAAAACTCTCATGAAGTCTGGACCCTGCCCCACGTATGAACTTGGCATCTTCTGAGCCTTGTTGGTACTGTTGGGAGACTGGCGAGGTATGTGAAGGCTTAAGGACACATCAGACTGTAACACATAAACAGGCTCAGTCCAGATGCCCCTCCCTGCTATGGAACGTGTAGGTTTTAAGCAGAAGGGTAGACTCCTATTGAGATACACCCAGCTTGCTCCTCTTATGTATCTGGCACAGGCCTGCAATCTCATTCCCTTTCTGGGGTATACTTCCAACTCCTGTATCCCCAGGCCTTGCAAAGGGGGCACAAAGCTTTGACTGAGCCCCTTCCCACTGGGCAGTGGGGCATCAAATGTGGCCCAAGGACTGTCTGTAGACTTAAGGCTGAGGCTGTAGCTTTCACCCTGTGGCCCAAATTGGTTGAGATGGGTGAGAACAGATGGGTGAGGTACCAGCTCCAGGATCATCTCCCCTCCTTGTAGTCAGGTCTCTGAAGTGCCAGAATCTGCAGTCTGGAGGAGTCAGAACATCTCTTCTGATGTTCTCAGTGCTGGTTACCAGTGTGTTAGCAATGGTTGAGGAATGGGTTCCTCCTTCTTTTGCCAAGAGCAATTTCCAACACATTCCTCAAGTCTCAAGATTCCAGCTCCCTGTTCTGTTATCTCAGGATTGATGGTGATGGACTCAGTTCAGATTAGCAAGCGCAATTGTAATATCTGTGCTGCCCACTCTGGGACCTGACCCCATTTCAGATAAACCACATGGATTGCACTTGAGAAAGCCAACCCAAAATGTGCTGGCAGCAGTGTTTGCCCTGCTCCCAGAGGGGCGGCAGCGGCACAGCCTTATTGTGTCTGCATGTCTGATTTCTCTTTAGTCAGGCTTTCTGGGCCGCAGTGATCTGATGCATTGGTCTTCATGGGCCTGAATGTGGCCTGAGGAGGCTGCAGTTGAGAAACACTGATAAAGTCTGGCATTAGCAGCTGGGTTCTGGCCTACTTGGGGGGGGTGCTAGGTACTTGTTCTTTTCACACCTCAGAAGCAACTAACACTTATATGTAGTGCTTCCCATGTGCCAGGTAATGTTTTGAGTGCTTTATGCTACATTAATTTAGTTTATCCTCATAGCTACTCTAGGAAATGGATGATTTTATTAGCCTCCTTTTATGAAAAGGAAATTGAGGTACAGAGAGGCAAATAAGTGATTTAGTTAAAGTTAGAAAAGGGTTGTGCTTAGGACAGTCTTTCAACTGTTCACACGTGGTGTGACCTTTCTTCCCCCATCCGTGGAGACTCCATGAGGGTCACACAAGACTGTCTCCGAGGGAGTAATGACCCTCTTTGGTGGACTTCATCTAATTAGTTGGAACATGAACAGAGAGACCTCTCACGTGATACCATGGACAAAGCTAAAGACCCATGTTGGAAGCTTGCTGTGCAAATTTAACTCTTGACGAGGACATGCCCTAGCCTGGTACTTCCAAATCCCACAGATAATGAGCTATGGCATAATTGGCTCATTTACACCAGAATTACCTTTTGACAGAAGGCCCTGTTGTTTTCATATTCAGGAACAAAACCAGCCCTATCTCTGCCCTGCACACACACCCCTCTCCCCAACACACCTTCCCAACACCTCCACCTTAGGTTTAGGGGTGGGTTTTTTTTCTCTTTCTTTCTTGAGGTCACACTTCCTGCTTCCCAGAAAGGCAGGCCCCTCTGGGTAACCTGCTCCGCTCCCACTGCCTTTGCCAGCTCTCCTCCCTGCCGCCTTCCCGGAAGGAGTGTCCTTGGCCCTCTTTGGGGCTGCTTCCAGTGTTTCACAACCCTTGCATTTCAGCCATGAAATTCGTATCTGGCTTTTCCCAAGATGATCAGTTGAGAAAAGCTTGCTGGCGCCTCCCTTTCCACTGCCTGCCTGAATGAGTTCAGAAGCTTAGGAAGCAACTCCTTGGTGCCACTGAAGACAGCCTAGCCTAAGACTGGACTTCTGCTAGTTGGAGGGTCCCAGCGGGGAAGTCACTGGCATCCTTTCTGTCTGCGGTGGCATGGACCAGTCTCTGGGGTCTGAGCTTGGCTCTGGCCTCTTCGAGTGATGTGGGGGATGTATCCGATCATCGGGTGCTCTCAGGGCGGCGGGCACGTCTTTGCACTGTTGGTGTGTGCGGGGAGCCTGCCGCAGAGTTGCAGGACCTCCTCCTGTCTGCACCAGCGGCTCACTGCCTGAGCAGCTCTGGGAGCGCTCTGGGCCGCAGACCCTCCCCAGAGCAGGGCAGCACTCACGCATGTGTGCGTACATGCGCTGGGGGGAGCGTTCCTGGCTGTGGGGGAAGTGCGGTGTAGATAGAGCCTTGAGAAGTCAGCTGATCGTTCATTATTGCTGAGCCAAGTTTTTTGGTCTGGAATTGTACCAACAGCTTTTAAGACTTTTCTTTTCATCTTAATTTCCCAGAGATAAGGTTTTATAGCATGGATTCTCCTGTTGTGACAGTCCCAGCTGCACTCCTGCCCCTGACCCACACATGTTACTCACATCTGTTTCTCTCCACTTTTATTAAGAGTGTCTCTGCCTCCATCTGTTTGGCCCTTTGGATAGGGTGGCTTTGCCTCTTCTGTTCCCATCTTGATAGCTTGTGACTGCTCACGGAGTCATCCTTTCAAGAAAATTGTGTTTTGTTTTGGTTTACTCAGCCTACAAGGCTCAGAAAGAGTAACTAGAAAAAGAAAGCATCTAGCTTGCATCCAGTGAACTGGGGGAAGGAAGGTGAGTTTTCACCTGGGAGGACAGCTGGGCTGCTCTGGCCCACAGAGCCATCTTTGGGGACCCCGCTCGAAGAGCCCTGTGGCGTCCAGGGAGCCGCCAGCCTGGAGCATGAATCTATCTCACTGGCTTCCCTCACCACTCCCACGCTGGGGAAATACTGTTGTTTTCACTGGAGAGAAAACCCAGAAAGAAACAGCCCCGTTCTCGAGGCCCCAGAAGGCTCTGCAGGGCTGATGGGGGGAGGGCTCAGGCCTCAGCTCCCCACTTCCCCTTGTCTGCCTCACGTGACCCGCATTGGTCATACTAAGTGCCAGTCTTGATGTGCCATTCTCAGAAATAGACCTTTGAAGGGGCAGAACAAGGGGCTCCACAGCAGCTCCGGCACGGGCCAGTTTCTGTTTGAACTGTGTCCTCGCGCCACTTCCCCAAAGAGTTGAAGCCATGGCCACTGTTCACTCTCCAGCCTCAGAGTTCATGGCCAGCACTTTGAATTCTCAGTCTGGACTGTATTTTACTTCCTTGAGTTGCACAATCAGGAGTATTTTTATCACCTATCCTTGATCCTCGGTGTCACCCAAACTTCAGTAGTGAGTCACTTCTCCAGGGAAGGGGAAGGGAAGGCTCAAAGGTGAGAGCTGGAAAGAAGAAGTGACTCAGCGTCTCAGAAAATGGAAAGCCAAGGACTTCACCTAAAGTGGGCTCCTTCAGGAAAGCAGGGGTTCTAGTCTCCCATCCAAGTCAGAGAGCAAGACCTGGATGAAGGTCTTGCTGTCCCGAAGTTAGTGTTTGATCAAGGAA